TGTCCAGAGGTTTCCGAGTCATCGCGTTTCAAAGTTGTAGAAACAATTAAATTTACATTCATTCAGATATTGGTTTTCAGGTTAGTGTTTACACAAAAACAATAATATTGGGTCTCCTTGTAATACAAATGATTGGAAGAGTAGGTTACACTGTTAAAATCGTTGAATAGCAGGAAGAAAATTTAATTTAAATATTGATTGATATTGATTATTTTTGATTTTAATCTGATTTCTTATTTATTGATTATTTTACATCGGCAAAAATAACCTTTTATTTGTGAAAGAGAAATTTCGATAATAAAACCTATGTCACCTACTTACGAACTCTATCTTATAAATTATTCAAATGTTGTCAGTTTTCCTGTAAACAATAATGAGGTCTGTATTTGGACTATTCCGTAACATCTCGGAAAACTTCGTCGGGAAATTATCGGCATTCTGCTGCAATTCGCCTTTTAAGATCATCAATATCAGCAGGACTTAAGATGTACTCAAAGAAAAAAATCTAGGGGTGTTCAATCCGGTGATCTTGGAGGCCATTCAATTGGTCCCCTTCTGCCAATCGATCTATTCGGGAATATCTTATCAATGTTTGGGAGGGTTCGAAAATAGACTTTATTATTGTTTACCGGAAATTAGTCAATATTTTTAACTACTTACAAGGTAGTGCGTAAGTAGATCCCATGGGTTTTATTGTAGAAATTTCGCTTCCGTTAATAAAAAGTGATTTTTCTCGTAAGTAAAATAATCAATAAATCCGAAATAAATTGTTTAAACTAGATTTCCTTCCTGTTATTCAACGATTTTAACAGTGTTCCCTACTCTTCTAATCATTTGTATTACAAGGAGACCCAATACAATTGTTTTTGTGTAAACAGTAACCTGAAATCCAATATCTGAATGCCCGCAAGTTTAGTTGTTTCTACAACTTTGAAACGCGATTATTCGAAAACCTCTGAACAAAAAGCTCAACTGATGTAAAAAGAATTGAACCCCCGTTAAAACCATGTGCCACCTCATCCCCCTTCCCATTTAAGATTCTAAGGGTGACATCTACCATTCTTAGGGGGTGGAAACAACCCGCTAAACAATTTTTCGTTTCTGAAACGTATATTAAAATCCCGAAACGTTTCAGTTACCTGCACTATATGTTTCATAAATGTTTATGTAACTGCAAATGTCCGCCCTCAGAAACGTTTTGCTGAAACATTGCAGAAACGTTTCGTTGAAATGTTACTGAAGCGTTGCGCTAGACGTTATTTAAACGCAAATAAATATTTTGTAACAGTATACATGGTGTATCTTTGAAGAGTGCAAATATTTTAATTGGTGGTACATAATGGACCTAGAAGCAGAACTATAGGATTGCTGCGCTTTGAGGACAAAAATATACAACCAGTTGAAATATTTGTACTCATCAAAGAATCCCTATGTAGTTTCATGATTCTATAACATTTTCATAAAAATATTTACAAAACATTTTAAGCTAACTTGTTTAAAAATGTTTTAAATGTACAATCAATAGCCTCGAAAAGTTGATGAATACAGCTCAAATGACATAAATATATACAATAAAAATTTTATTAAATAAATATACAAGAACCAACACAAACACACAAAAATAAAAATAATTTCTAAAACTCAGTTATCTCTAAGCAAAATACCCCAGTCTTCTTTGGAGTTGGGTAAATTCTCAGTTTATAATCAATCATCGTTTTCGACAGCTTCAACCTCAGCCTAAAGTGAAAAAATAATAATACAGCCCCATACAGTGTACAGTTTAAAATGGAGTATTCAAAATATTCAATATATACAGAACTGTTAGTATTATATAGTTTGATTACGTTCTTGTTCACCAAACGCCAAAGATGCCTTGTCGAAATATTTAATTTCTTTTCTTTGTTCGGCTCATTTTATTGCCCTCAAATAATATTCATAAGCCTTTTAGTACATAAATGAACTGAACAACTCGAAATGAGAACAGCACAACATCGTCCACATGGTCTAAGTTAGAGCTAATTTAGCTAAATATACTTACCTATACTAAAGTTTCTACAATTAAAATGTATAGGTACTTACCAATATATTATCACTTATTTTGATGAACCAGTCAAGTAATCTAATAATGAAAAATGAAATAATACAACCTCCCAAATAATGCGTTGTTCGGAGAGACGATAGTGGTTATGTTTTATAAGATAATAAATGCCATGCGCGATGGGATGCGGTAGAACCATGAATCTCATGTGCGCTAAAGACGTTTCTGAAACATTTTTCAAACGTTTTCATGATATGTTACATTTGTGCAATATAACCGCACATTTGAAACGGTTCAGTCATGTTTCATGTTTAGCGGGAAGGAGGCTCAAAATATTCCATGTAGATTTGTAATATCCAATTCTCCTTACAGGCGTTCCTGCAAGTCTTTTTTGTCAACTTCTATGTTCTCTGCAATCTATCTATATATTTTTACATCTATCAGATCCTTATTATTCATACCGTTTTCGTTTGCATGCCCCACAAGCATATAATGCGGATTAGTCAGATTCTTTGCTTGGATGTTGTTTCTGATTATTAGTTCTGAATTCACTTTATTTTGTCGTGTTTCATCACAACTTTTAGTTACAATTGAACCACTTTTTAGGGCTTTTATGATTTGGAAATCGCCTCCAGTTTTAGATGGGTTGATTTAGTTTCTTTTATTTATATTTAGTTCTTCTATTTATTCTTCTATTTATAGTTTCACGTGGATCGATGACATTATTTAGTCTTATGATACTTCCCAAGATGGTCTTTGTTTCAGAAGTATTTTTCTTATTTTTTATCGGTAGTTGACTTGACTGGCCCTTTTGCAAGTACTGTGATAAATGTACGTGCGGTCTTCGACGATCTTCAAATAAATTTGTTTGGATTTTTTTCGAGTGCCTTCTTACAATTATTTTCAATTTAAGTCTTTTTCTAGGGGAAATGTATTTCCAAAAACTACTTACGAAAAACTCAATCAGAAATTCGACAAAAATATTCCTTCAAATGGCAAAATGTATACTGTTTTATCGGTAAATCAACAAATATAACATGTTAATATCATATTCAAATAGACGAAACGTACATGGGCATTGGGCACTGTGAGTAATCGGTTGAATACAATTCAATATATAGAAACATTTTTACGTGAGTTCCTAAAGTAAATATATCAACGCCTGTTTTCTTCGATTTGATAAGAATTTAGTTTCGAAATGCAAATTTGTTTTTGTATTCACAATCATTAAAAATTGATATGCAGCTTCAAAATGGCATAAGCCTAGCAAATACTCGAAAAAATATCATTTTCAACAAGCTTGAAAATGTTTATGGTTCAAATTGAAACTCGGACATCAACATTTCAACCCTTGAATAGTGACCGTTGAAATTGTTGCCACGAAAATGCTGAACAAATGTTCCACTTTGTTGCAAATATCCGCATTGGTTAGAAATATTAAATTTAACAGTTTTGGAATTCTTAGTCAAGATAATCACAGAAATGGGGGAAGTTGACAACATGATTTATTATAAAATGTTTTTATATAATATGTTTCAAAATTTGACTTACTAGCACGCTAACATTGAAAAATGTACGCTTAATTCTCACAGAAAATTGAAAACTTGTAATATTTAACAGTCAAAGCATTAATTGAGAACCTCCTCATAATTATACACCAAAGTGCCTGTTTAAAAAATTAGATTAAAAAATATACGACTTTAAATCGTGAATGTGTTTAGTTGAATGTAATATAATTGATGGTTGCTCATCCCACGAAAATAATGGCAATTTCTGAGGGCACAGTGGCTTCTGGGTGGGAATAACATAAGGTATGCGGATGACACCGTCATTTTTTCAGACAACCTAGCTTCCTTGCAACTCCTAATGGACAGTGTTACATCATACAGTACGGTTTAGAAATAAGCACTGACAAAACAAAGTTCATGATAATCAGTAAAACCTAAAACACCCGCGGTACTACCAATAAAGTACCGGAACTCCTTTAGAAAAAGCCAACAAATACACATACTTGGGCACAAACGTAAATGATAACTAGGACCATCCTGTGGAAATCAGAACGCTTATTGAAAAAGCCAGAACAGCATCTATCAGGATGAAAAAACTCTTTACTAGCCACGACTTACAGCTGGCAACGAAAATTCGCCTATTTCGATGCTACGTGTTTTTTTTATGGGGTTGAATCGTGGAAACTTACGGAGGCCTCCTCCAAAAAACTCGAGACATTTGAAATGTGGCTGTTCCAAAGAATACAACGCATACCTTGGACAGAGAGAATAACCAATACGGAGGTGCTAAGAATGATGGGAAAGGAAAAAGAAGTCCTGAATACAGTTAAGACTCGAAAGCTACAATATCTGAGACATCTGGGACATATGATGCGCAGTGAGAGCAGATATGTCTATTTTCAGAAGATCCTTCAAGCCAAGATATATGGAGCAAGAGCAATGGGCAGAAGGAAAATATCGTGGTAGAAAAATATAAAAACGAAACAAAATTCGAATTGCCAACATGATAGCCAACATCCGGAATGGATAGGCACTCTAAGAAGAAGAGTGGGTTCTGCAATTAGAATATCGTACTCTGCCAAATTATTTTGAATATTTGATAACACTCACCACTTAATCTTATAATTCCTTCTTGAGAACTTCTAGATTGGCTGGCCTGTGAGTCACTTGCAAACTCAGGTTCGGTTATTTTCACGCAGGTCCCATCTACAACTTATTTATTGTATCACAATGTCATTAGCCAAACACAACAGTAGTTGCCTTTCATACACATGAATTAGTTCAAAATCAAGTACACAAATCAGTTTTTCTGCTATCAGTTTGACTGTTTTTCCACACAGCCGTACTAATCGCCATTAAATATATATGCTTTTCAATGTAGCGCAAAATTAAATTATAATGCAAATATTAGGAATAACACAACAAGTTAATAAAAATCAATTCTCAATTTTCAGGCCTATTGCCCCCAATGTCAGGAAGCAGAAGAAGTGATCCTTAATTGCTACGGCAAATACTTTCGTTGCGTCAACGAAACCAATTATTACCAATGCGCAAACTATGGCCCTGTAACACTAGCCTTTTCAAGTCAAGCAGTTCAGACTTGCCCTATAGGGTTAGTGTGTGGTGATGCAAATCCATGGGAGTGCGTAGCACCGGAGGAAAGTAGTACTGAATGTCCTCCAGAAGATGAAACGACAATTACAGTAACACAAACCACATCAAGTGTCCCGATCTCCACGCATAGCTCAAACTTTACCGACATTTCGTTTACGATAACACCTGCGACCTCATCCCCCTCTACGGCAGATCCTTCGGCTTCAACATCCAGTAAATCAGAAACTACAACGTCTGGTTCAACTTCTTCAGCTGAGACTTCGCAGAAAGTCACGTCAAAAATACCTTCTGATCCAGAAATTGTAACAACCAGCAAATCCGAAGTTACTGCAACTAGTAGCACATCAGCACCAAGTACAACAGAAGCAGTTACTTCAAAGTCAGACTCCACGACTCAAACTAGTACTACCGTTGGTGCCACAAGCACAGTACTGGCAGAAAGTACTACAGGAGGAGCTTCCCAAGGGACTGACACAGATAGCACAACAAGCAGTGATTCAACTAAGACAACGGCAGCTTCAACATCCATTAAATCAGAAACAACCACAGCTGGCACAACTTCTGAAGAAGTCACATCTGAAGGTTCATCTGATCCTGAAATTGTAACAAGCAGCAAATCTGAAGTGTCAACATCTGATAGCACAACCGTATCAAATGCAACAGAAGCAGTTAATTCAAAGTTAGAAACGACGAGTCAAACTAGCACTACCGCTGATGCCACAAGCACGCTTCTGGCAGAACGTACTACCGAGAGAGCTTCCCAGGAGACTGACACAGATAGTACCAGAAACAGTGATTCAGCTAAAACTACGGCAGCTTCAACATCCGTTAAATCAGAAACTACCACATCTAGTCAAACTTCTGAAGATGTCACGTCAACAGTTCCTTCTGTCCCAGAAATTGTAACAACCAGTGAATCTGCCGTTACAACCGCGTCAAATGCAACAGAAGCAGTTACTTCAAAATCAGACTCGACCAGTCAAACTAGTACTACCGCTGATGCCACAAGCACTGTCCCGGTAGAAAGTACTACCGGGAGAGCTTCCCAAGAGACTGACACAGATACTACCAGAGACAGTAATTTAGCTGAAAGAACGGCAGCTGCAACATCCAGTAAATCAGAAACAACTTCAGCTGGCACAACTTCTGAAGAAGTCACATCTGAAGTTCCTTCTGACCCTGACATTGTAACAACCGGCAAATCTGAAGTTTCTACTTCTGTCAGCACAACTGCATCAAATCCAACAGAAGCAGTTACTTCAAAGTCAGACACGACGAGTCAAACAAGTACTACCACTGATGCTAGAAGCACAGTACCGGCAGAAAGTACTACCGGACAAGCTTCCCAGCAGACTAAAACAGATAGCACAAGAAACAATGACTTATTTGAAACAACGACTGCTTCAACATCCAGTAAATCAGAAACTACCACACCTGGTCCAACTTCTGAAGAGGTCACAACAGAAGTTCCTTCTGACCCTCAAATTGTAACAACCAGCAAATCTGAGGTTACTACATCTGATAGCACAACTGCATCAAATGCTACAGAAGCAGTTAGTTCAAAGTCAGACTCCACG